GCTGCTGCTGCTGCTGCTGCTGCTGCTGCTGCTGCTGCTGCTGTTCCTGCTGCTGCTGCTGCTGCTGCTGGTGGTGGTTGCTGCTACTGGGCTCCACTGTGTCTGCGTTTTCTTGCGTCGCTTTTCTTTTCTTTTTTTTGCTCTTTCTCTCGGTCGCACAGTCTTCAGACGTGTCTTGCTGCTGCTGCTGCTGCTGCTGCTGCTGCTGTTGCTGCTGCTGCTGCTGTTCCTGCTGCTGCTGCTGCTGCTGCTGCAGTTGCCTCTTTTTTTCTTTGCCTGGTCTGTCAACTGCTGCGGTGGGTGCTTCTTTTTGGTGGTGTTGCTGCTTCTGCTGTTGCTGCTGCTGCTGTTGCTGCTGCTGCTGCTGCTGCTGCTGCTGTTGCTGCTGCTGCTGCTGCTTTTTTTTGGGGGCATCATTGTGGTTAGTGTGTGTTGCATCCTCTACCTGTTTGTGTATTTTATTTTCTTTTATTTTCTCTTTTTTTGCTTTTTTATTTGTTTTATATTCTTCTTTATTTGTTTCACATGTATCTTCAGTTTTATTTGTTTTATATTTCTCTTCTTTTTTAATTTCTTTTTCGTTTTTTTGTTTTTCTTTTTTTCTTTTTTTCTCTTTTTTTATTTCTATTAAACTCTCATCTATATCTTCTTCTTTCTTCTCTGGGGGCCCCAGGGTACTGGGGGCCCCCAGGGTACTGCGGGGGCCCCCGGGGGGCCCCCTGGGGGGCCCCCCTGGGGGCCCCCCAAATTTGTTTAAAATTAACTTTAGCTTGGAGGGGCCCCTCGGCTGCAAGGGTTTGGAGTTATATATTTTGAGTGCGGGTAGAGAAGAGAGACAAAAGTTTTTTATTTTTTCCTGCAATAGAAAAAAAAAAAATAAATAAATAAATGTTGCTGCTTCTGCTGTTGCTGTTGCTGTTGCTGCTGTTGCTGCTGCTGTTGCTGCTTCTGCTGTTGTTGCTGTTGCTGCTGCTGTTGCTGCTGCTGTTGCTGTTGCTAATAGAAATAAAGAGGAGGAGAAGAGAGAGAAAGAAGAGAGAGAAAGAAGAGACAGAAAGGAGAGAAAAAGAAAGAAAAAGGAGACAAAAAGGAGACAGAAAGGAGACAAAAAAAACAGAGACAAAAACGAATAAAGAAACAAAAACAGAAAACAGAAGCAAAACAGAAAAAACAAAAAAACAAAAAAAATAAAAAATAAAAAACAAAAAAAGACAAAGACAGAGAAGAAAAGAAAACAAGCAAAAGACAAAGACAAAGACAAAGAAAAAAAGAAAAAAAACAAAAGACAAAGACAAAGACAGAGAAGAAAAGAAAAAGACAAAAGACAAAGACAAAGACAGGGAGGAAAAGAAAATAAAAAAACCAAAAGACAAAGACAAAGACAAAGAGAAGAAAAAAAAAAACGAAAGACAAAGACAAAGACAAAGACAAAAAAAAAATAAATTTACTGCTTCTGTCTCCATCAGAGGGTTTCCTATTAAATTTAGCTGAGACAGCTTCAGGTGATGCCCCACAGCCTCCACAGCCCTGCACAAACCCTAAACCCTAAACCCTAAACCCTAAACCCTAAACCCTAAACTGTAAACCCTTATATACCCCCTTACAGTTTGCTGCTCCGTGCGTCAACAGCCGTATTGTTTATCTCGTGAGCAGGCATCTAGGGTTTAGAGTTTAGGGTTTAGAATAAGGGTTTAGGGTTTAGAATAAGGGTTTAGGGTTTAGAATAAGGGTTTAGGGTTTAGGGTTTAAAGTGAGGGTTTATGCGATAAGAAAAACGTTTAGGGTTTACTATTAAATTTCTGTTTTCTAGGGTTTAGAGTTGAGTATATATAATATCAAAAATAAAACCTAGGGTTTAGGGTTTAGGGTTTAGGGTTTAGGGTTTGTTACTGTATGGTGGGTATAAGGTTGTGGCCCAAGTCTAGTATTCTAAGAGCCGGCATCGCTTTCACTTCTTTTTGTATTTTAATTAATTTATTCTTCGCCAGCCGCAGCTCACTCAAAGCAACAAACCTCTCGCTGAAGGGAAAATTCTATAGTATACACAC